CAAAATGTGAGGATTGTGTAGCTCCAGCACAGGTATACCAGCAATACTCTAATTTCGATTGTGTTCCTTATATTCAGTTATGTGCAAATACACTTGGGGAAGGTAAGGATCCACATCTTCTGCATCCAGATATATGTTAATTAGAGAGACCTGTATCATTAAATTATTATCATCTTAAGAAAAGATTCTTACAATCTAAAAATATTTTTGGCGTAAGGGGTTGATAAACTGTAAAAAAATCAATCAATCGCATTTCTTTATTGCTCGCTTGCTTACTTTTCTCACTGAAACAGAATAGCGTTTCAGATATGTCTTTTCCGTCTTTCCTCGCTATTAAAACGGGATAATCCATTATGAGCTATTGGCAGAATGTTTCTTTTTCTCACTGAAACCTAAAAGCCTCTCTGATATGTCTTTTTTTGTTTTTCCTCGCTATCAAAAAGGAATAATCCATTATGAGCTATTGGTAGAGTCTTTATTTCTTTTTCTCAGTGAAACCTAAAAGCCTATCCGATAGGTCTTTTCCGTCTTTCCTCGTTATCAAAACGGAATAATATATAATGAGCTATTGTCAGAGTGATTATTTTTCTCACAGAAATCTAAAAGACTCTCTGATGTGACCTTTCCGTATTTCCTCCCGATAAAAACGGAATAATCTATTATTTATTAGCTAGTATCAAGTCGTAACGTACGTGCTAAGAAAAGAACAAGAATTAAAATTTGAGGTCATAATTTTAGGCTATATTTGGAAGATCGGAAGTGCATTAATTATAACGATGCGCTCAAAATAACATAGGTGAGTTAATTTCGAATAATTCATTAAATTAAAAATCATTTTTTTTCTGATTTTTTTTTGTTACAATTCGAATTTTAATTATTTAAGTTATGTTCTGACAATGTTCTAAAATGTCAGACTTTAAAACGGTTTTATTTTGACAAGTATTAAAATTCCAACGGAAAGCGAGGAAATTAGCAATTACACTTTACTTGAGATTATTTAAATCTTCAAAAAGCCCACGCTGATGCCAATTGTTCGAAGAATTGGCAATTTGACTGATGTTCAGTAACTAACCTTGTTATGAGATGAAGTTAATTAAGAATTTTAGTAGGAAGTTTATTATTTTTTTTACAATTAACTAGAATTAATTCTGCTTTGTTTTCTGATAATATACATACACCGACCTCGTCTCTCGACACATGAACATTACAGAGTTATTTCACAGCCACACTGTTTGCATGAAATATATAATAAACAATTATTCAAGTCCTAATTAGATTTTTAACAATAGAACGAGATCATTTTACGAATTGTTCGAACTAGCGTTGCAAATTTAGGGGTTCATCGATGAGTTAGTTTTAGTACTTCGTCTTGGTTTGAGTGGTTTGAGTGATTGATTAATTTTACGGCTTCTCAACACCTTGTAGGTTATTTAAAGCCAGAATACATTTTTAGGTACTGGTTCTATACATTTAGAGATGTTGATAAAATCTGCAATTTTATTGATCCTGACCTGGCATCTCGGCTTCAGTCACTTTCTCGCCGTCGTAATGTTGCTTCCCTGTGCCGTTATTATAATATTTTCATGTCAATTCTTCTAGTGAACTTTCCCCTAGGGTAGCTAGACTTTATGTATTTAAGCGCAGTACTAGATTGGCGGCAAGGTCTCATTATTTTACAGTGAAAAATGCTAGATATAAGGGTAAGTTCTATGCAAGCAGTTTCTTGTCTTCCACTTCTCGCTTCTGGAACTCTCTCCTGGCTTCTTGCTTCCCAGTCAACTTTGATCTTTAAAAATTTAAATGAAAAAACAAAGTGTATCTCGAGTAGCACTCGCTGCTGGGTCAATGAATGTCGAATGTTTCCTTATAAGGAAATGGTTAATATTTCAATTAGAGATAAGAAATAAGACTACATTTGTTATTTACCCGTCCTCGCCTCCAATCATCACAACGGTTAACGGGATATGATACAAGGGCGGTTTAAGATGGGTAACCCAAACGCGTGCACCTAGGCTGAGGTAGAGGTATCGCTGGCGTCGATATTCCACCGATACTCCTTCTTTGGTGCAAGGAGGGGGGTGCTGCTGCAGGGTTTGAATCCCCGACACCAGGCATCCCTCAGTAATGTTTTGTGTTCTATCCGAAGAGAGAAACAGAGTTGAGAGATAAATTGCAGTTTGTCCGCTCAAAGGCAGTTTGTAATTACTCGCCGTTCCTTGATGGCAGGATGTGGTACAAGGTCATTTTAATGTGGGAAATCCGAGTGCGTGTATTCGGGGTGGTCCAAAAATAGTCCAAAACCCGGCAAACGTCGGTCGGGTTGACATCGAAAAAGAGAGGCTCGGTAATACTACCGATCCCCGCCTCTTTAGTGCAATGAGCTGTTCCTCCTGACTGGGTACCTTTCAATAATGTTTTCAATTGCGCTCTATTCCAAGACAGAAACACACAATAGAGAGATAAAATGTTGTTTGTCCACCCGAATACAGATACTACACTTTGATCCCAGTCCAATGACCAGGGAATGAAGAAAAACGTAACTCAAGTAACACTGGCTGCTAAGTCTGTAAGGACCTATTGGTTGAAACATTTATTTTAGGAACATTGGGCTTACCAATTGTAAAGGTGTCCGTTTGTAAATAAACCAATACTATTTATATTATTATACTTTCAACGTACAGGATTCAAGTAAACAACAAAAACTCCTAACTGTGAATCAACAAGTATATATTGAAATAACATACAACAACAAACATGCAATAAAATTGTATTCACTGTATAGATTAAGGGAAAGAAGTTGTTCTCCTTTAATTGTATTTTGATTTGTAATTGATTGTTCGAAGAAAGTTCTTTTTGAGAGAAAAATGTTCAGGAATCGATATTAGAACAAAGGTCTGTTAGAATAGATAACACAAGGATACCATTGATCAAAAATGTGTTGTGTTATAGAATGGTTCGAAATCAACATAGTCCTGGTTGATTGAGCTTGGATAAGTCACAGAGAGAAATGTAAGCTTATATTACGAAATTCTGTGTCTGTGCGTTCCTTTTGAAATGTTATGAGCAAGATCGTGGACTTGTATGAACAGGTGAATTTTACTGGATCTTAATGACGACTTTTGAAAAAGTCGCCTCTTTTATGAAAAAGGGGTAGGCTTCCACAGCAACGCGGGAAAACTTAATCTTGCACTAAAATATGTGATTGATTAAAAATTAACCAATCACTACATTCTTACTAACAGAACAAACAAGCAAGCTCAAAACCGAAGGATTCAAAGAAACGACTGCGATGGCTAAATTGTCCTATATAAAAGTAGTAGTGATTTATTAGCCAATCGCGGGCGAATGAAATATGGGCGTGGAAAAACTTAGCAATCGCTACAACTCAATGAATGCTGAATTTTTTCCTCATAATGAAACAGCTAATATTGCCATTACCAGTACAACAGACTACGGAAACAGTAAACAGCCATGTAACAGTATATATGCAGCCATCTGTCTTTCTGGCAAGATGTTATCTATTACAATGTCTGTTGATCTAAGTACTACAAATTTAATTTTAATGTTGTCCTTTCTTCTTCGGATCAGTTCAATAAAAATCATATCCTCTTCGTGAAATTGAGTCACTGCTACGACCATTACTACTAGGTAGTGTTTTCAATCCTCACTGATCGTCACATCCAAAATTCGACATGAAATAACTAACAATGTTTGACATCAACCAAACGACAATTTATGCAGAAGTGTGTTTCTTATTATAGCTTTAAAGTCATGACACGTTTAAAAACAGCTTCTCGTATGATCATCGAAGTTAAGCAACATCTAGCCTGGTCAGTACCTAGATGGGTGACCGTTTGAGAATACCAGGTGCTGAAAGATTGGACGTGCGGGTGGTGTAGGCGATAACGTCTAGGAATTGGACATGGGAGAGTCGAGTTCCAATGCCAGCCGGATTCGTTATAGTCACTTATGCAAAAATATCCTTGGGAATAGTATGAATCCACATCTTATCCCCCCAGGTATGGGTTAATTAGTAATACTTGTATCGGTAAATTATTATTATCTCCAAAAACATCTTACCATCTATAAATATTTCCTGGTTTTAAATAACCAGCCAAAGGTTGATAAACCTTAAAAAACAAAACAATCAATTATTACCATAAATTTTATTTTTTTAGTGGGGGTACGTGTTTGAATGTTTATCTTTTTAAACACTGCATTTAATAGTAACCAGCCTAGATTGAGATGTCTTACAAAAGAAAAATTATGTCTGCCGACAGGAATCGAACCTGTATCCCTTTTTCCATCAGGGAAACCAGACATATAGCTGATGCGTACCGTTATCAGTTTGACCACGGGATACGACTTTGGTAATGCAAAGTTCAGTATATGTCTGCATGTGTTTGTGTGTATATGCAATGTGATACGTCCTGATCTGGCATCTCGTCTACAGTTACTTTCTCACAGACGGATTCCCTCTGTCTTTTCTACAAATAATTTCAGGGCAACTGCTCTGACGAGCTACTTTCACTGGTGCCCCAACTGCATAAATTTAAGCGTGCTACTAGGTTGGCATCTCGGTCCCACGCTTTCACTATCGAAACAGTTAAATGTAACCACCTCTTCTACTCCAACAGCTTCTTCTCTTGCACTTTCCGTCAGTGGAACTCCCTTCTTACTTGCTTACTTGATAACTATAATTTTCAAATATTCAATTGTAATGTCAATCGACATCTTCTGATGCTTTGATCCTTATTCCTGTCCCTTCTCTATATACTTTCCTCAAACAAGCCTCTTTACTCTAGCTCTCACTATCAGTAACCCCTTGCGTGCGAGGGGCACTCCCGCCTTGCTTGGGGTGATATTCTTAAAAAGAAAAAAATGTTTGTTTGTAGAAAAACTAAGTCCGTTAGATCGATGTCTCCAATATGAAAAGGAAAAATAATAGTATCAATATTATAAATCTAATGGACTGATATGTCATTAGTGATATCAATCTGATGTCTCAGAGGGTAACCGGTAAGTGCTGCCTGGCCGGTCTCAATGTCCATACAGTAGACCTTTTCATTTTATCAATTAAACTAATTAACCCTTTCACTAAGTTACATTTTCTAGATTGTCCAAAGTCCTATTTTTTTTTCTTCTTCTTCTTCGGTTAGTTTTCATAATATTTTCATTCTTTTATTTATTATTATCTTTATATATTTTTTTCTATGCTTCATTTTCATTTTCTTTTTTCATCTTCTTTTCTGTGTCTTTTTTATTTTCATTCTTCTCCTTCTTTATATTTTTATTCTCGCTTTCTTTTTCATCTTTTCCTTCTCCTTTTCTTCTTTTACCTCTTCGACTGCTTTCTTACTTTTCCTTTTTGTCATCTTACAATATATCTCTTACTTTTCTTTTTCTTTTTTTTATATTTCTTTTTCTCTTTTATCTTCTTTCATTCAACTTTTTCTTTTATTTCCATTCTTTTCTTCTCTTACTTTTCTTGACTTTTCTTTTTCTCGTCCTTCTCTTATTTTTCCGTAGCTTGCCTTCTTTTTTTTTCTTTTTTCGTATTTACTCTTTCTCTTATTTTCTTGTCTTTTATTCTTTTTTGGCCTTCGTTTTCTTTCATTAAGTTTAGAAATTTTTGTTATTTTCACCTTTTTTTATTTTTCTTCTTCTTCTAATAGAATTATTTTTCTTCTTCTTCTTCTAATAGAATTATTTTTCTTCTTCTTCTAATAGAATTATTTTTCTTCTTCTTCTTCTAATAGAATTATTTTTCTTCTTCTTCTAATAGAATTATTTTTCTTCTTCTTCTTCTAATAGAATTATTTTTCTTCTTCTAATAGAATTATTTTTCTTCTTCTTCTAATAGAATTATTTTTCTTCTTCTTCTAATAGAATTATTTTTCTTTTTATCACTCTTCAATTCTTTTTCCTACTTTCATCCTTTCATGTTTTTATTTTCGGTATTTTTTTTTTCTTAAGTTCAACTTTCTTTCTTTTTCTTCATTTCAGTTTAGTAATATCTATTCTTCTCACACGATTATATTCTTCCTTTTGATAGATTTCTTTTTACCTCCTTTTCCTTTTCTTCTTTTTATCATTTTTTACGTTTGTGTTTTCTTTTTCACCCTTATTTTCATCTGTGAGGTTTATTTATTTCTCTTCTACTCGTACTTCTTTTTATAGCTTCCCTTTTTATACTTTTCTCCGTCTTTTCATTTTCCTCTTGTTTTCTTCGTTTTTTCATTTTTTAAAAATATTTTTTATGTCTTCTGATATTAATATATCATAAAATATTTCATATTTTATTTAATTCCATCCTTCTTTTCTTCTTCAGTTAAATTTCATAATTTTTCCTCTTTTCATTCTTCTTCTTCTTTTTCTTTTTTCTTCTTCTTCTTCTTCTTCTTCTTCTTCTTCTTCTTCTTCATCGTCGCCTTCTATTTCTCTTCTTCTCCACCTCCTTCTCTTCCTCCTCCTCCTTATTCTTCTCCTCCTCCTTCTTCTTTCTGTTTCTTCCACCTCCTCTTCTTCTCCTTATTTTGCTTCTTCTTCTTCTTCTTCTTCTTCTTCTTCTTCTTCTTCTTCTTCTTCTTCTTCCTCCTCTTCTTTTTCTTCTTCTATTTCTTTTTCTCTTCTTCGTCGCCTTCTTCTTCTTCTTCTTCGTCGCTTTCTTCTTCTTCTTCTTCGTCGCCTTCTTCTTCTTCTTCTTCACCTCCTCTTTCTCTTCCTCCTCCTTGTCCTCCTCCTTCTTCTTCTACCAAACTTGAATATAAATAAATATACAAAAACACAAAAGCAAATAGATATTTCCTTTATAATAAAAAAAGACCTTTATATAAAAGCATAAATAATTCAAAATCATTTTATGATGTAAATATTTTTTGGAATTGCCTTTGACGAATGAGATATTGTTTTCTTTTATTTCACAACAATTTTTTTTTTTTTTTTACTTTCTCTTATAGATTATCTGACGACGCTGCATTGAAAAGACGAAGTCAATCTTTTGATAAAAAAAGTTTTGCTGTATATTTTTCTTCTTTTACAAGCCAAAATATCCCAGGGGAATTCTATCGGAGATTGCGTAAAGGCAGCAATGGACATCAGATTCAATGAAAAGGTTTTTAGTTTTGCCATTTCAAGTCCTTTTTTTTTTACATTGAGCTGGAACTTCCATCAAAGGGATGTTGTTTTTCATTAAGTAACTGTCGGGAAATAATAGGCGATGTCCATCCTGCATAATGGCGATGCATTTTTCGGAATTGATATTCTGAACACATTCTTGAAAAAAAACAAAAACACGACAGACACATGGCGTAAGCTAACAGACGCCTATACTTTATTAAGGTTTGATATTTAACGAAGACACATCTAAAGATGATTTAAAAAAAAAAAAAAAAGATCAGTATCTGTCCATATTTCTGAGATGAGGTATTATGTACATTATTTACATTATTCGGACTATTGTCCTCATCTTTGTCGCCATATTTATTACAACGTTTCGGCCGTTGTACGCTCCGGCCTTCTTCGGGTAGTTGGAATGTCGAACTGAACCCTTTCTTTCGCTCACTGGGGTAGACTGTTCTAGTTCCACGTGCCATGTTTAATAGGATGTCAGCTATCAGTTATCTCCTGTTAATTCCTCTCTCCAAGTTCTCCACTGCCTTAACTGGGCATTGAACTCACACTCTTTGTTGGATCTAACCAACGCATTTATCCACTGTGCCATGTGTCCTTAATGGAGAACTTTCACAGGGAAATTAACAGGAGAGCAGATCATGCGGAATTTCAGGACGAATATTTGACTTAATACAATTATGCCTGTCAAACCACATAGAGAAGGTCGTCGTTAACGGATTCTCCTCCAGTTCCTTTCTCACGAATGCAGGTGTTCCCAAAGGCTCTATCCTGGGTCCTACGCTGTTTCTGGTCTTCATTAACGATCTTCCAGATCTCATCAGTTCCCAAGCAGGTATCTATGCAGACAACACCAACAACTTCACAATAACGGAGAAACTCGAGCTGAGCTCCAGATATCTCTAAAGCGTTTGATAGGGTTTTGCATGCCGGCCTTCTTCGTAAGCTTCATACGACACCACTATTTACTCCTGCCTCAAATCCGAATCTAACCAACGCCTTTATCCACTGTGCCATGTGTCCTGGAGGCACAATCCTATAAACAGTTTTTATGCCAGTTCCATTACTGAAACTGGCATAAAAACTGTTTATAGGATTTAAAATTAAGTAAAGTTTTCATCCGAATTATCAGAATGTTTTGATAAAGTTTCTAATTGTAATTTGTTTCTCTTCCAAATTACAACTGTTGATGGAAATATATATATATATATATATATATATATATATATATATATATATATTGAACAATAAAAAAGTATTAAAATATTAAAATCTTCAGACACACTGAGTTGTAGATTAATATTCTTTCGTTTTTTTTATTATTATTTCATTTAGATTCCTCGATTATTTTCGGCCAAAATGGCCATCAGCAGGAGAAGAAATATTTCTGCTTGCTGGTAGCAGTAAACTACAGAAATGAATGTCTTGATGGAGAAAATGAACTTTTGTCTGTAGTTTTCATTTGTTTTTTTTATTTTTTTTATCTTTTTAACATGAATCTTTTAACATTCCTTGTGTTGGTCAAACAGTCTCTTTTAAGATGTTATTTGAGATAAGAGCTGGATGGATCAATGCTTCCTTGAATTCCCTTGGTCAGTTTGACAGTTTTATTGGGAATGTGTCTCTGTTCAGTGTTTGTGCGTGTGTTATTTGGTTCTTAGGGAGTGAGTGAGTATGATATGTGTAAGCGTGTGTATTGCTGTGGGTGTGTGTTATCATTTGGCTCATTAGGGAGTGAGTGAGTATGATGTGTGTAAGTGTGTATATTCGTGTGGGTGTGTGTATAAGTGTGAGGCCTCAACACCTCCGTAAGCATGTCTGTCTTATGTGGGCGAGAAATGTGGGTAGGTTTTGATTTGTTGAGTTATATATTAGTACTATCTATATTGTTAAATTTATGGTTTAGCCCGCCTGGATATTGTGTTTTTTAGACGTTGTATCCACTTATTTTCATACATACATACATACATACATATATATATATATATATATATATATATATATATATATATATATATATATATCGTAAAATACATCTATTGGATTCTTTAGTACGCATCATCAATGATGTTTTTTAGTCGAGATTCATTAGGTGTTTCGGGTCTTTTAACATACCCCCTCTCCCCAATGACCCAGCCGATACTGATCGGGTATCGACTTGTGTACCTTCCGTCAGCTACAAATTTTTCCATAGTCCACCATACGACTCTTCTTGGTAATCTATTGTCCAATCCCTGATTACTTCCGGTTCACCAGTAATGTGCGCTCTTCCATAAAAAAGGAAACAAACGCAGCCACAATTTCTATCTGGTCAGAAATATGGCGGCCTGCTTGGCTTGAAGTGGTAAGTACCGATTTGATTCCCCCCCCCGACCCCGAGACATATACACACACACACACACAGAGAAGCCCACTCAAACATCACATTCTGCTTACACTTATCGCCATTTTCATTCATGTTGATCAGGAAAAGAAAAAGTGAAAAAAATTATTTCGTTTTCCTCCTTCCCACTTTTTTCATTTTTCATCCTTGACTTTCCACCTATACACACACGCACACGCATATCAATGTCGCCACACACACACACACACACACACACACACACCAACAAAAACAACCCCTAAATACCATAACCCTAGTAGTGGGGGCAAACAGGTGCTAGATCTTAGCCAGTGATCACAAAATTCGCTTGAGGATGAAATGGAACTAATGTTTTTAATTTAATTACAAAATTAAATTTGAAGCATTTAGCTTCCATTTTTGAAACATGGTTATTACTGTGTAGCGAAAAAACATATTTTAAACTATTTAATTTATAATATATATATATATTATAATTAATTTAAAAAATATGATTTCTTCGCTACATAAGAGTTCTCATGTTTCAAAAACAAGAGCCGAAAACCACAATATAATTATTAAACTTAAATTGAATTAAAGTATCAAGCCCTGTTTCATCCTCAAGCGAAAATTTATGAATAACCAATCTTGAAATTTACGCATCTTTATAAGCATGTTAATTCGCAAAATTAATTACTATGGAAACAGGTGGGGGGACCATCTTGATAACGGGCATAAGAGTTAATTTGTACCATATATCAGTCACCTTCTGAAAGAGGTCAGACCGAGGTGGGGCCGGGTGTCCATTTCAAAGCGACTGATGGCATTCATGTACGCACATCGTCTGGTCAGTCACAGCGAAAAATAGCTGTTGGCACCATAATACGTCGTGAAGTGTCTAAAGAATTTTATCTTATTTTATTTATTTATTTTTTATTCTTTTATTTATTTTTTTCCTACAAGTCTGTCTCGTACATAAACGCGTTGCACTGATCTACAATTTGTTTTTTGTTTTTTTTGACGACTTCATAAAGGGTTTTTCTATCTTCTGATTGGGTTTTATTAGACTATGAAATTAATTTTTTTATGCTAATTATTTAATGTGAAAATTTGTTGATGCCGGCAAAAACTGTTAACTCATGTCTATGGTTTAATAAATTTTTATTATTTAGAAATTTAAGAATCTTTAGTTTTTAATGTAGGCTCAAGCCGTTTCCATAAATAAATAAATATTCCAAGGCAATAAAACCCGGCCTGTCCTGATATTTATCCACAGCTGGAGGAGAATAAAAGGATTCATACCTTTCCCAAGAGCATTAGCACGTAAGTGATCATAATAGATTTGTCTGGAATTCGAACTCAGTTCAAATTCAGTAGCGCTTACTTTTTTAAATTATAATTTTCTTTTTGGGGTGTTCTTTTAAATCAATTAAGAGGGTCATATATCTCGAAAAATTCATTTTTGTTATTCTGAGATCATCCACTAATAGTAATATTAACTAGAAATCCACGGCTAGTAATTAAAATAAAATTTCTAGCCCATATTTTTACATTTCTAGAAAGATAAAACCTAGAAAATGATCGCTTAAAAAATAAAAATGTTTAAAGATTTCAACAATGAAAAATTTTCCCGAAAACAGAAATACTGTTTTTAAAATAAATTTTAAGACAATCCCGTTTGTGTTGTGCTGGAATCTTTGGAAAACTTTTTTTTTTTTTTCAGCGAAGATGAGTCTGCAATTAATCTTTATAGTAATATAAAATTTTCTGACTTTTTTCCGAGTAAAATTTAGCCACTATTTACATTATTCGGACTATCGTCCTCATCTTTGTCGCCATATTTATTACAACGTTTCGGCCTTACTCAGATGATTGGAATGTCGAACTGAACCCTTTATTTCGTTCACTGGGGTAAACTGTTCTAATCCCACATGCCATGTCTAATGGATGTCAGTTATCAGTTATCACGTGTTAATTTCCCTCTGAAAGTTCTCCACTGCCTTAACCTGGTATTGAACTCACACTCTTTCGGTCCTGTCACTGGATCTAACTAACGCCTTTATCCTCTGTGCCTTGAAAATATTGATGAATTACAAAAGAATAAGATTTTCTCAGATTTTTTAAAAATAAAAAAAATCATTCATTATAAAAGTAAGTAATTAATGAATATGTAGTGAAATTTTCATTTAAATTTGATAATTCACTGATTTTTGAGAATAAAAACAACACTTCCCTCCCTCCCTCCCTCCCCCATTTTCTTCCGAGGGTTTGTGGCCTGCAGGTTAGGAAACTTAAATCGACA